TCCACACACAAACTAATGCAATACATCTTCAATAATTCTTCAGTGGCGTAGACAATGGGGGTCGGCACCCCTCTCCTCCTCCCAATCTTTGGTACCACTAGATATTTTGCAAATTAGATTGAAATACTGGATTACCTTTTCAATTTGGAAAAAAAATCCCCTGCAGGTTTGTGATTTATTGCTTTGCTTTTGAGATATTCATTTGAATTTGAAGAGCCACTCACACGTCTGAATTGAAAAAATCGAGTGCGCCTTGACTTGCCAATCGGACTAATACAGTAGGCGATCAAGTGACCCTCAATCATTTTCATTTTGACATCTCTTAGAGGTTGTATATGTTCTTGAAGGAAAATGCCCGTGTTTAGCAATGTTGAATATGCAGATGTGCATTTTATTTATGGATTTTGTAATGGAAGTGCAGCAGCTGCTGTCAGGGAATATCAAATATGGTATCCAGACCAAAGGCAACCAAGTGCTCGTGTTTTTGTGAGTATCCATCGCCATTCTCGAGAATTCGGTTTGAAACACAATCGAGATCCAGAGCGGCCTGGGAGAAGAAATAATAATGAAAACATCAAAATCAACAGTGTTATGTGTACTCCATAAAGATGATGATACCATTCACAGTCCGTACAGAATCTACTCTCTGGTGACGAAAACCGTCGCATGACATTTTGTAATTGGCTACTTAATTCAATCGCAGAGAATCCAGAATTTTCAAAAATAATTCTTTCGACAGATGAGGCTACCTTCACTGGAACTGGAATTTTCAACCACCACAATTATTGTCATGTCTGGGCTTAAGAGAACCCAAGAGAAACCTGTGTTAGTTCATATCAGCATGAGTTCAGCGTCAATGTATGGCTAGGCCTTATAAACGGTTATGTTCTTGGTCCACTCTTTTTACCTCCGCGGCTTGATGCTAACCTCTTTGAACTTCTTGACCAATAATCATCATTTCAAGTTGTTCGAAGTACCTATCGCTACACGAATGAATTGCTGGTTCCAAATAGACGGTGCTCCCGCTCATTTTGGAAGACAGGTGAGGGCGTGGATGAATGTAATCTATCCAGACAAATGGATAGGGTGGATTACAATAATTGATCAGCCTGAAGTTGGAAGAGGGCCAGTGGCGTGACCTCAAAGATCACCAGATATTACGCCTTTGGATTTCCATGTGTGGGGATACTTGAAAAACATTGTTTATGAGACAACAAATTCATTGAATATACAAACGTAACAAAATTTTTAGGTATTTATATAATAATAATAATCTTTATTATTCCCAAGAAACATATATGTTTATATCTGGGAAAATTATGAAAGAGCAACAAAAAAAAAAAGATAATCAGATTATAATTTTTAAATCATATACATAGTACATAATATAATGTTTCTTCTTGATGAACAATCATCGTGGACTCTAAATATAGATCATTTGAGGAAAAAATTTGCTGCTATTATAGATAAAATTCAAAATTTTCTTCCTGTTAGATACCTCCTTACCTAATGAGTTGAAAAATATAGAAGAAGCAAAAAAATTCAAAATCAAATCAATGAAATATCTGCTCAGTAAACTTTAATTCCATATCTACTAATAGTAATCATTCACAATTCGATAACTTGTAATGGATTATAATATTTTCATTTCATATTATATTATAATTTTTTTTATGAAAAACAATAATTGTGCAATTATTATTGTTTCGATTTATTATGTTATATGTATGTTTCGTTGTATTATAAATAATAATGTTTCTTGAGGTAATAAATACAATCAATCAATCAATATCCTATTTTCTTGGTAGTTCAGCCATAAGTTTTGGCCTGCTTGCAAACCATCAAATTGAAATAGATATCTCAAAAACCAAGCCACAAATCTCAAAAATTTTCTCAGGTAGTTTTCTCTTTTGAATTGAACAGGAAATGTGAAATATGAATCTTTTTTGTGAAATATCAAATGGCGCCAAATATTGGGAAAGGAGGAACCAACCCCCATTGTCTACGCCAATGAAGAAGTGGTTCAGAAGTTATGAGAAAACTAGTTTTTGTCTTGAACTTTGACACCCTGTATCTTTGTAAGAAAACATTTTTCAGGGAAGTTCTTACAGGAAAATATACTTTATTTTTGTTGCTCTATCACCTGTCAAAATTAATGACGTTTAACCTGGACCACCCTGTATATTGAGGTATGTTAAGTTGACTTTCGGACAAAAATAGTTGAAATAAAAAAACAATTCTCAGTTGACGAGAAATAGATATTTTCATAAAATTTTGAGACGTATATTGAATGTCCCATTGAATATCACGACGTTAGTTTATCAATTGTCAGGTAATAATAATAATAATATCTTTATTGTTGTAAAAATCTGTAAAGACAATAGCAACTTCAAAAATTGTAACCACTAATAAAATGACATTAAGAACGAAAAGAAAAAATAACAGTAGGGAAGAACTATTTCGAACAGTTACAATCATACACTTTATCTTTTAGAAAACAAGTGACTGAATTTCTGAATATAGCTGGATTTTTAATGTCCTCAATATCTGATGGTAATTTGTTGAATGCCTTTTTTGCTCGGTAATGTGTATTATTTTGGGAAAAAGCAGTTGAATGTTGTGGAATACTCAGATTATTTCTGTTACGGGTGATCATGTCCATATTCAGTTTTTGTTAAACGAATATTTATGTTTTTTTACAAAGACTACCAATGATAGATAATACAGGGGTACAGTAAGCAACCCATGTTGTACAAAAAACGACCTATATGATGTACCATATTCTAATGCAAGAATGCACCTCAGAATATGATTTTGGTAATATAAACAATTATATTGTTAACATGAGAGCCTGAACCCCAGGACAATATTCCATAGGAAATAGCAGATTGCACATGCGCAAAATAATGAAATATTAGGCTGTTTACTTATACATGTTCCCTTAGATACCGTATGACCCCAAAAATTGAGGCTATGGCAGAGGCTAAGCTATTTCGAAAATACATGTGATAATGTTCAAACTGGTCACCATTATGTTGAACACCATAATATACGCTTACTGATTGTTCCGTGACTTCTATTCAAGAAGAAACTGATATTTCGTTTCATTTTAAGGAAATGATGAGTATATATGACAAGATCATCACTTCATATGTAATAGAGCAATCAGTATGTGTGAATTGTGTGTTCAACATAACGATAACATGTTTCAACATTTTATTTTCTTCACAGCACATTTAAAAATCACATGGGTTGTTAAAATATCTGACAAATGAAACACTGACATTCATTTTCAATGACACATCTCAAAATTTTATGAAAATATCAATTTTTTTTCATCTGAGCATTTATTTTATATTTTATCTGAATTAGTCCAAAAGTCAACTTGTCATACATTATTGTATCCAGAATAAAAATTCTAAACAGAAAAAAAAATGTGCCATTTGAAAAACAAAGTTGACAATCGCTGACGTTACAGTTGAAATTTAGAAAAATAATGATCAAAGTCTAATTATAGTATCTGATGAGCCGCTTTATTTCCTTTTTTGTTTTTCAAATTCGAATGATTCATAGCGGCGCTATGGCTTTGGGCATTTTTGTCATTATACATTTTTAATTCCTAATCTATGTAATAAAATTCCAAATGATATCATACAAACAAAATCACTACAATCCTATTGGATAAAAATGTAAAACTGGATATTCGACCCCTAAAATTAATTTTTTCTCGTTCGATAATATAATTAGAAACATTAAAATGATAATTGTGAATAAGTATGTATAAATATTAATAATTATGCGAATTGAATGAAGACAACTTTTCCCTCGTGATAATTTAATATTGTTAAATATACACCGTGTCCCAGCTGAAATCGATCGAATGACTTGAAATTTGGTCACCCAGTATATTTGATGATGCTCACTCGAAGTACGCTATTGAATAAATCATAGATATACAGGGTCACCCCGAAGTGCACATCAACTTTCTTATTTGAATAGGGACACACAGTATATTATTCCATATTCAAGTAGAGTTCATTATTACAAATTCTACAATGCCGGGTTTGATGGGATTTTTTCTAACGATTACGACGATATCGCAAAAAATAAAACGATGCAATAAAAAATTTATATGATTTGATTTTATTAATATGACACGATTAAAATCGAATGATGGGTGTCCTGCACATAACTACAGACCCTATCTGATTATCTTCGCCATCGGTTTGGAGAAAATCTAATAACCACCAATTCTCTCGATGGTGATAGCAACTGGCCAGCTCGGTCGCCAGACCTCACCCCACTTGATTTTTATTTGTAGGACTACTTGAAACAACGAGTTTATGAGTCGCCAATTGTGAATATGGAAGAACTGAAAGAGAAAATCACAAATTTATGCGCACAAATTGATCTAGGATGAGCTAGGAAATGTTTGCAGCAGAATGGACGACATATTGAGCAGTTGAGGTTTTATTTATTTTCTTTTTATTCGATTTCAATCATGTTATATTAATTAAATCTAATCGTATAAATTTTGTATTGAATCGTTTTATTTTTTGGCATAGTCGTTTGAAAAAATCCCATCAAACCCGGCATTGTTGTAATAATGTAATAATGAACTCTACTTGAATATGGAATAATATACTGGGTGTCCCTATTCAAATAAGAAAGTTTAGGTGCACTTCGGTGTGACCCTGTATACCTACGATTTATTCAATAGCATATTTCGAGTGAGCATCATCAAATATACTGGGTGGCCGAAATTCAAGTCATTCGATAGCGTGGTTGATTTTTCACAGGGGGAGATATTTTAGCTGGGACACGGTGTATATTGATCTATGTACATTTGTTTTTTTATCTTCACTACAAGGTTCACTTCATAAGGTTTTTCCCAGTTTATTCAAGATAACTATCTGTATGTTCCAATGTATATTTTGTTAACGTTTTTGAATAAACATATCAATCATTATTATTCTTATTATTATCTTATACTTTTTTAGGTACTGAATCGTCTAACATTCGCTTCAACATTATCCCATTTGCGTCGCGTCAACTCCCCAATTGGTCGCGACGGCAAATTGGCCAAGCCTCGCCAATTGCACAACACCCTGTGGGGCATGATCTGCCCCGCGGAGACGCCCGAGGGCGCCGCCGTAGGCCTTGTCAAGATCTGCCCCGCGGAGACGCCCGAGGGCGCCGCCGTAGGCCTTGTCAAGAATCTGGCCTTAATGGCATACATTTCTGTCGGATCTCAGCCATCGCCGATCTTGGAGTTTTTGGAGGAGTGGTCCATGGAGAACTTGGAGGAAATTGCTCCGTCGGCTATCGCCAACGCGACAAAAATCTTTGTTAATGGATGCTGGGTAAGGAAATTGAAAAATTAATGCATTTGTAGCCGCAATAGGCCTTTTCATCTAGATATATTTTTAAGACGCATGCCCTTTTTTTTAGATCCAAAATTTGATTGGGTAATGCGAAAGTGAAGTCTCATTGGCTATAGTTCCTAAATAAAATTCTGATTGGCCATTTCGAATATTGCGGTTTTTGTAAAAACTTCACAAACGATAAGATTTCCACAAAATTCTCAATAACACGACATGTTTCTTTAACACTTTTTTTTTTTAAAGGCTTTATTCAAATAGTTCACAATCTGATTATTTTCAATTTCGTACATACATGTTTCGGACACTATTTGAAAAACAATTCCAAAACAGCATGTAATGCTGGTCTCGGAACTTCTTAAGTCTACACTTTTTCATTTCATTGTTACTGCCCAATCTGATTTTCGTATATAGTGATGTTATTGTTAGAGATTCTCTTAGACAGTTCATTTTTAAATATTTTTATGTTTTCGGCTTTCCTCAGAGCCACTGGGAGACAGTTAAAAGTTTTGATACATTTAATGAGAGGGTTATTCAAAGCAATGTTCGTTCTTGTGGACTCGATGTATATATTTCGTTGATTCCTTGTCTCATAGGGATGGACTTCATGGTTTAATTTAATTCGTGAATTACACTTCTGTTCAGATTTGCAAACCTTGTATATAAATTTACTCTGTTCAATTTTCAATATTTCTGAGATTGGTAAAATGCCAGTTTGCTTATAAACCAGTTTTGTTGGTGTTCTGAATTCGATATTGAATAAAACTTTTACAATTTTATTTTGTAGTTTTTCTGCTTTCTCAAATAGTGTACGCCCACAGGATCCCCATAAGGGAATCAAGTATCTGAAAATAGATAAAAAGTATGCATTATAGATTTGAGTATATAGTTTGTGATCAATATAGTCTCTACATCGATAGATCGCTCCGATCATCGGTACTACTTTATTTTCAATGTGGTCAATATGTTTACTCCAATTCATTTTGTCGTCTACAACTAGGCCAAGATATTTTGTATTTTCAACTCGTATCTCCTCGCCTCCAATTTTTATGTTAATCTCCTCAAAGTTTGTATTTCTTTGCGTAAACACCATAAAGGTTTTTTTTTTGTATTTATTTTGAGTTTGTTTTTTGTTATCCAATGATTATACAAATTTAAGTCAGAATTTATTCTTATCTCTAAATTTTCGTGGTTTTCGTTACTGTAGATTAGGACGTTGTCGTCTGCAAAAGTAAAGTATCTCCCAAGTAGTTCTACTTTTTCTAGGCTCCTAACATGTAGTGAGTACAGTAGGGGTCCTAATACAGACCCCTGCGGCACTCCACAATACACAGTAGCTTCATCAGGTGCTATACTGGTACAATGAACTGTACTCATTGTACCAGTATATCACCTGACGAAGCTACTGTGCTAGCGAAACATCTCGTGTGTTTGAGAATTTTGTGGAAATACTATCGTTTGTGAAGTTTTTACATTTGCCATGGATTTCCATCAAGTAACGGCCGAGTCAATTAAAAAAAAATTGCTGTTTTTATTGACTTTATTGACGTTCTGTCAAATGTCAACAGTGTCAACCACGTTACTTATTCGTTACTGAGCAGTGTGGTGCAATTGTTTCGGTGAAAATTGCCGCCACTGTCGTTGGATGCGAGATGTGAACACGAATAGTTATTTGTAATCTAAATGAAAAGGCCTATTAATGACAGTTTGTGCAAGTAAAATATTGATAGTAATCTGAGGTATCTTAACCGATTTAGTGATGATAATTATGTGTTTACTGAATTGATACATTGGTGATAATTATCGACCAGGGGCCTAATTCTCCACAAGTCAACTTTCAATGCATATACATATTTCAACAGTTTTATACATTTTGATATTCTTGACTCGTGATATTTGGATGTATACATTTACAAATTGAGCGTTTACAGGGAGAACTTTGTTTCATCGTTGTTGTCAATGTCTGGCAGAAATGTAATATTTTCTACTATCACTGTCATCTATTATTGTGAAGCTGAGGAGGTATTCTGATCACAATATATGTTTCAATAGTTCAGTAGGTAAACTCATGATGTGGCTGATTAATTGATTTGGAGGCTATGAACTCTGCAGTTCCAAGATACAAGCTAATGGGGAAGACCACTGATTTTTTAAAACGACATCATGAGCTCTATACTGTATTTTATATATATTTAAAAAAGGCTAGTCAAGTTTTTCGATGAGCATAAGGTTCTTTCTGACAATCAGTATGGCTTTAGTTAGGGAATGTCAACCGACGATGCAATTAGATCACTGACAAAATTGATATACAACGCATTTGGCATTTGACTAAAAAATACCGTATTATGTGTTTTCATCGACCTCTCTAAAGCTTTTGATATGGTTTGCCATGAAACCTTGTTGAAACAATCGCGACCTAATCTGAGTTCTGCGGATGACACCGCAATATTCTATCAATCAGATACATGGATGGCGTTGAAACAATACATAAGTAAAAGAACCATTTAAATAAGGTAAATTTATCACAAAAACGGATATTGAGACTAATATACCGAAAACAGAGAACTTCGTCTAGCGATGAATTATACAAAGACAGTAAAATAATGGTTATTCGGCAGCTGTACTGCCGAAAAATCTCAAATTATTTACATTCTAAGAAAATAAAACTCCACCCTGTGGAACACGATTACGACACTCTTCACGGAAGTGTGGAAATTCCTCAATGTGAAAAGAGTGTAGGTCAAAGAAGCTCAATTTTCTTATGTGCAAAATTATTCAAAAACTTACCCATTCAACTCAGAACTTTGAAAAATCATGGGTTTTTCAAACGTAAAATCAAACAATGGTTACAAAATATTGAAAGGTCAATAATCAGCAATATTGTCAATAATAATTATATCTAATTTTTTTGTTTTGAAAACAGAGAACGCCGATCACATTGTCTACGCGGACTATTTTAAAAAAAAATCGCTAATATGAATCCTCGATTTTTCACCCTGTGAATGTGACCCTAAAGTCTGAAATAATCTTTTGTACTTTGTATGGTATTTTTGGTGATATACAGAGTCGTTTGAGAAGCTTACAAACCAGTAGTTCTTCAACTTACAGTGGGATTAAAAACTTGAAAATCAGTATGCTGTTATAATTGATCATTTTCAATCTACCTGAGATATTTTTAGTCCTACAGCCATACAGGGTGTGCCAATAGTGGGCACCATTTTTCTGATTTTAAATAGAAATCTACATTTTTTCACACGGTTCGATTGGCCTTCTAATTCTGAGTTGAGTCAACCTCATTTATATCAACTTATCTATCATAGTTATCGAGATGTGGATTTATCTGAGAATATTGAAAAGGAATATTCTCAGATATATTATAAACATGAACGATGGAAGCTTGTTATTTTTATAGACCTTCAATCGCAGATTCGTGATTGGGTTTTTCTCAATTCAGAATTTCTTTCCACGCCCTGTATGATAAATGTCAGTTTGTCATACATCTAAAACAATTATCTGAGAATAACTACCAAAATTAGACCAGTAAATTTGTGAAAAAGTTAGCTGGACGTCCAGGCTAACTCCTGATGTCTCACCAATAGTTCCTTCTTGTATCACATGGGCGCAGGCGATTTTCAAATGTTGCAATGAAAGAATGTCAAAAACTCATATTTCTTGGCTGACACCAAATGGAAAGAATTTTGATTTGAGGATGAGTTACTTGAGCATTCTCTATACCTAACTAAAATCTCCATCGGATTTTTTTGATTAAAATCAGGAAATACCTTATCTAGCCGAGAGATGTGTGAAATCAACGATACATTTTTCTCCGTGTATACGGTGGTGCTATTGAAGGTAACGAATTTTGGTTCAGGAGATTAATTAGAAATGGATAGTTTGGCTAAAAATGTTTTTTCACCACTAGCCATAAAACCTGCCATTATTGATTATTATTATTTATTATTCAATTTGAACAAG